TTACCTAAAATTAATTGTAATAAAGGCCAAGGAATTAACAGCACAGAAAATCTCTAGTTCTGTTGGCATGTGGCATTTTCAGATCTTTAGCTCGTCTAAGGAATATGTAATTCTAAGTAGAGCTGGGTGAACTTTTTTCAGACGAATGGTTTATTTAACAGCTTAAACAGGAGAAACGGAGAGCAGCGTATCCAAAAATGGCCTATACCCTGCAGGTTAAGATGCTCACCTGGCAGGGGGAAAATCTGAGTTCCAGTCCCTGCTCTGGAGTAGAGATTCACACCTGGGTCTCCCACATCCCAGGCAACTGCCCTAACTGCTGGGACAAAGGTTAGAAAGCAAGAGTTAGACACACAGACCTCACCTACTGGGCTAAAGGTTTAAGGCATGGGCCACACACACAGACACACGGTTTGCTGGTCCAAAGCAGACATTGCTTACGAATTCCAAAGCATTTACCGATGTGAATATTTTTTTCTGATTTTGCAGTTTGCTGCCTGAAACAGAAAAATCAATTATTCACCCAGCTCTAATTGTCAGGCATCAACCCCAGCAGTAGTTAGATGAGTCTAGGAGCTGCCCTATTATAACCTAGCTAGTATGGCCCCTTTGGGGCCATAGTCTAGCAGAGAATTAGAGCACAGCTGTGCTTCACCCTTTCTCTGAACACACCCTTGATATGCCCCCTACACCAGGGTGCGTGCACCAGCCCGCTAGGCTAATTTTACGCTTGTTAAGACTCTCCCACCCCCATTCTGGGGGAATTCTCCACTGTCTTGCCACAGGCAGATCATGGCTCTTTGTACTGCCTGAATGGTGCAAAGGTTCTCTTGCCTGATCCGGCTCCTAGCTCAAAGTCATCTGGCCGCCTAGAATTGATGCAGTGAGGATGATCTTCAGATTCATAGTCTCAGCGTGTTGAGCCAGTAATCAAAGTTCCATACAGGGTGACCAGACAGCAAGTGTGAAAAATCGGGACGGGGGTGAGGGGCGGTAATAGAAGCCTATATAAGAAAAAGACCCCAAAATCGGGACTGTCCGTATAAAATCAGGACATCTGGTCACCTTGTTCCATAGGAAAGGGGAGGGGGAAATAATTTTTAAATACAATTAGCAAAGTACTGTACCAAGAGTTTGTCACGAGATTGATAGCACAGCATGCTTCACTTACAGTTGCCAGTGTCACACATTTAGAAAATGACAAATCTATCCTGGCCTGCTTCCAAAAGAAGTGGATTTTTACTCCGATGGTCTGAACAGTCATATTCAGATCTTTAAAACTGATTGAATCGGAACCTGAAGCTTTGAGGGGTTCACATCTCCCTGTTTTGATTTTTAAAAAATACACGAGGAATTCTGCAACAAGTAGTGGACAATTTAGGCTAAATAAAGGTCCAACAAAGAAGCAGCCATATTTTGCGGCAGAAGTAAATGCGCAGTGTAGAAAGCAAGAATCTTAAAGCACGTTACAAACTTTATCCTCAGAATCCTCCAAGAGGTGTTAACACATTTTCTAGGTGAGAAAATTATGTCTGACAGGAGTTATGTCACTTGACTAAGGTCACTATCAAATCACTGGTAGAGCGGGAAAATTTTTTTGATTCCTAATCAGCTGCAGAAGCTACAAGGCCATACCTTCTCCTGAGAAATCCAGGACAATATGGCCAGATTCAATTGATTGCAGGGCTAGTCATCTGACAGAAGGATGAATATATATTTGTTCAAAAATCTTGAACAAATATTCTGCCAGCTTTAACATTTCGCTTTAATCTATTGGAAAGCCTTGAATGATCCTCATTAGGAAACAGTTAAGACTATTAGAGGAAACTCCAGTATTTGAAGAACTAATCTTTAAAATATAATGTCAATGTATAGAAGGGTTAAGTCTGCTGCATATTCTATAATGAGATTGTGATTCATAAATCCTTCCAAAATCCATAATGCTTATGAATATTAAAATCAAAAATTCTGGATGAAAATGAGCAAGCAAAGCAAGCAATTAAATCAATCTATTGTACTTCCCTTCTAGTTTTGTCCAGGGCTGAAATTATTGTCTGGTTTAGCAAAGTGTCTTGGATAATTAAATTGTTTTGAACTATCACACTAGTCCTCTGTGATGCTCTCTGGTCCTTTTGTCATCTCTCTGTCTTGCTCATTCTCCCCAGCAGAGACAAACAAAGAAAACAAGTGGGTAGCAATTTGTAGTTTCTGCTTCCATCTGAACTTGACAGGGCTGTTTTGATCTTGTTAAATTCCAAAGCATGGAAAAAGAAAAAAAAATCACACACCTTAAGAAGAAACAAGACATGCTCTTGGGCTTATTTGAAGCCTGAAGGAACTCTTTTATCTATTGTCAATAAGAACCGTGCAAACCCATTTTCATTTGAATCTTCTTATAGTAGAGAAAGCTAAGAGGTGAGTACTGAAGTTGGCAATTAGGTCACATAAGATATTGTCTGTGGTCAGGCCACTAACTGCTCTTAAAAAATCCTATGTAAATGTTGAGATTTATAGGGATACTATCAACTTAAATGTTGGATATAGGAAATATTAACTGCTATTCTCCTGGGCCTACAGAGAGAAGACAACTAAAGATTCATTTGGCAATGGAATGCTAAATTGGTCTTTCTATTAAAGTGGCCACGTTAATGGAGTGAATGTAGATTCTTTGGTATGTAGTAGCATTTTAATATTTGCCTGACTATTTAAAGGGCATACACAAATTGGATGCACAGGTTAATCTCCTGGGTTTATTGACATTGTAAAATTAAGATGATTTTGAATAGAATATTTATGTTGATTTCTAATAAAAATATATTAGAAACACACACTGTTGGTACCTGTAGGCAACATTTTAAGACAGGCAAATAAACAAATTAAAACCAGCAGCTACCCCACTCCTGTCCACAACTCTCACCAGAACTCTCACCCAATGCCTCTTTCAAGCTCTGTGATATAGAGAAAAATGTGTTGTGCTCTGAAGGTCAACAAACCCTTCCACACCAAGTGTGTGTGTGTGGCAGGGAGAGGGGGGGGGAGGTTCTCACTGAGAATTCTCTACTCCCAGCTCCTTGCTTTTTAAATCAAGGTGGGTACAGCTGGAAGAATGCCACTCGGTACTTTAGAACTATATTTAGGGTACGGTTACCTTGTAAACATTAATCTTTCAGCATATTATGAAAGTTTAGAAACAATAACCAAACGTATCACTGCGTCAGCAAAAAAGTGCTGCATGTAAATTACTAGATCCTAGGGGACAACTAATGGATTATACTATGGGACAAAAAAATGCAAGGACTTTTATTTCCCTCTAGAGATATTCTGAAATCCTATTACTGCAACATATCTCCCAGGGGTAGGAGATTTTTTTGTATCAACACTTTTTACTAGTAGAAAAAAATAGTTTCGTATGGGGAACTGGTCAAAGAAATATTCTGCAGGGGCTAGATATGTAAGATGAGGTGGGGGGAATTGAGGTTAGAAAGAAAGATCCAATAAGAGTATAGGAAACAAGGATGTGCATGTTTTGTATTACTTTGTTTCACTGATGTACTTGGGGACATTTCATTAACCTCGAAGGATTCATTAATTCTGAGGGTTCTTTCCCCCCAAAAAGTAAAATCTATGAGCTTAATTAATGGAACTGAATTGGCATTCAGCTTGCTGGGATGATCCAAAACCCATGTCAGTGGGTGTCTTGACAGTGATTACAGTGAGCTTTGGATGATGCCCTTTGAACCTGTGTGTGTGTGTGTGTGTGTTTGTTTTCATCACTAAGGATCTAATTCTATCATCAGACACATGCACACAAATCCGAATGAAGATAATTGGAGTATCTGTATCTGAGGGCAGGATTTGGCCTTGGGTACTTTAGGCAGAATTCACTGTTGCCTTCTCTCTAGCAATCCTTACAAACTGTTGAAAGCTAATTTTTAAGATGAATTCAGGTCACAAACGATTCACATTATTGTCCACAACTTAACAGACAATCCAATTCAAGGACCACAGTTCCATTCAATGGGACTTAAACACATGCTTAAGTGCTTTGTGGAAAAGGGATGCACTTAAACACAAGCCTGAAGTTAACTTTACTGAATTGGGACTTAGAACAGTAGGTTTACATTAAAAATGTATGGCCCTATCACACTGGTATCTGTGCAACACAATCTAACAATCTCAAACCATGATCTTACTTCCTTTTATAATTGTGTAAATCAGGATTCAGTGGTCTTGTTCCAGCGTAAACCTAGAGTCAGGCAATAGGAGATGGAAAATAACTTAACTTAAGCATGATGAGGCTAACAATCTGTCACAACAAATGCTTCTTTTATAACTTAAACCCACATACTTCAATCCTTAATAGTATTTGCAATTCCAGACCTCAACATAAGGAATGTTTCCAACCTGACAAGACTTCCACCAGAACTTCAAAATCCCCCACAGCAACAGTGTGGCCCACAGCTAACTACTCTCAAAAAGGTCACTTTGCAGAACTCTCTTATAAAGTTTCTTCCTATTACCACAAGTGTCTGTGGCTGATTAAGATTCAGACACATTCAGACTAGCAAGAGAAAACGTAAGAGACAGACAAAAGAATACAAATGTTTTCATCAAAGAACCTTGTCAATAAACAATGCATTCTTTCACTTTATCTTTTAAAGGATCACCCTCCTGTATTTTATTAAAATATTTGTCTCCTATGCACGGTGAACATTGACTGACCAGCGCAGGCACCAATGAAGGCATCCATTAATTTATCAATCACCCAAAAGAGCGGCAGCCCTGCATATTTAATACTCAGGGTAACCAATTAGTATTGCCATTCCTTGAAGCTACACAAACTCATTTCCTTAAACTGCTGTTGCAGTAAATTCTACCATTATAAATGAGAAGCAGCAAATTGATTTGCATGTAATAACAGTGGCAATAAACCTTTCAATTTTTCCCATCTGTTAACAGAACTGATATTTAGGCTCTATTATTCCCAGAAGGGGACTTACCCAGCTGGACATCTATGACACTCGGCTGGTTCTCCACGGGGAACAATGGTTTTGGAGGTTTGTCGGTGAGCAAAGCTAGAAAATGAGAACAAGTAATGGAAAAATTGAGACAAATTACAATCAGAGGAAGATTCTGTCACACAGAAGTGACTGAGTATTTGCAGACTTGATGACGTGTAAACATTTATTACACAACGTTGCTGCTTGGCTGTTATGCTGTCGATACAGTATCAATTCCCTAGCAGGCTTAGCGGCCAATTGATTCAGTGGAAGCAGTTACGTTTTAAAATATGATACAATAAATTGACTCCTGTCTGGGGGTGTCGTCATCTTCCTTTTGTTGGATAATAATAAACTGAACAGAATGAATTTCCTTTAAGAGTTTTAGGTCCTGATCTTGTAAAGTCTAATATACATGCCTAACTTTTTAGTGAGACCACTCCCAGTGTGTAACAAACTGGATTGCTCACAGGTGTAGAAGTGAGCACGTTTAAGGCCTGGCCTATTCTTAAAAGTTTAGGTTGACGGAACTACCTTGGCAGTGCTTAATTTGTAATGAAAGAGGTGCCAGAGCTCAAGCAATTGGGTGCCGAGACTCAAGAAATGTTTTTAGATTCATAACAGATGCAGCAAGCCCATAGGTGGCAGGGCTATGAACTGCTAAGCCTAAAGGCGCCAGGGCTCAGCCCTGGCACAAATTAAGCACTGTACCTTGGTCAGCAGTATGAAAAGAATCCACACACCTGACTGATGGGACTCTGCCAATCTAGCTCCCAGTGTGTAGACACAGTTATGTCAATGAAAAAGAATGCTTCTGCCAAGATAGCTACTGTCGTTTGTGGAGGTGGTGTTCCTACACAGACAGAAAACCCCCTTCCATTGGTGTAGGCTGAGTCTACCCTAGGGGGTTATGCTGTCATGGCTATGGTTTTGCAGGACTGGAGCCCTTAGGTCCTGATTCAAAGTTCATTGAAGTCAATGGAAAGACTCCCAGTGATTTTAATGGGCTTTGTATCTGGATCTAAGTATCATTTTGTCAATGTAACACTGATTTGTGTGTGTGTGTGTGTGTGTGTGTGTGTGTGTGTGTGTGTGTGTGTGTGTGTAGTAGAGACATTTGCTATTACAAATTAGGTGGCTTTTCTTTATGGAACGATAGGGTATATAGGGAAGTCAGCAAGTATAGAACACATGGCAGCTGTACCTGTATTTTAATTTTGATAAATAATAATGCAGAATGTATGTCTATTAGGAGACCTATACTGCCCCCTCCTTTTTATATTTCTTAAGTTTTACATTTTTAAGGGAATTTACATCCCCCCCCCCTTTCTGAAGATATATTGCGATGCCCAATTCCAGAATGAAAATCAAAAGTGACAGAATGGAGATCAGTCATAGAAATCATAGGCAAAGGACTGGGAATCAGGAGTCCTGGTGCTGCCTCACTTAATCTGGGTGCAGAGTCAGTCTCTATGCCGCAATTTCTGCATCTGTAAACGGCTATTTTCCCTGTATGTAAAGCATTCTGAGATGCACAATGAAAAGCATTACATTAGTGTTAGGTATTAATATTATATAATAAACATCATACATAATGTTTCCCCCATTACATAATCTGTTTCTTTCTGTTCCTTCTACTTTGGACTGCTATGTACTGGTCTGCTCATTCAGAGTCCCTTTCACCTGTCACTCCTGACTATTAACACTTCAGATTTACCTGCCCTCTGAATGATTTATTCTTCCCAAACAAATGATGTCATGGCAGAGCAAGTATGTAAGAGGTGCCCTCTACAGTCAATGCTGGTGTTGATCATTAGAAACAGGCATTTTCCCCACTAGAGGGTTTTTAACCCTCCTCCTACCACAGCCTGTCTTTGTGGGTATTTCAGTGGAAAGCACAGCCACAGACAGTGGTTGTGATCCAGATCCCGAGTGCCTTCGCTATGGAGCTCAGCACCCTCCAACCCCATTGGTTTGAAGAGTCACTGAACCGAAATATTTAGATGTTTCCAAACCAAATTTGTTTTTACCACAAGAATTCACTGAAATTGACCTGAATCTGCATTTTATTTTTTTTGCACAAAAAGTTTCACCCAGCTCTCATGGTAGACCCCACGCTATGAGCTAAATGGTTTCCTAACACTCAGGCAGAGCAGCCTCCAAATCGCTTAGCGATACGGATAAATAGAGGTTCGGGAGAAGAGGACAATGATAGGTAGTTGTGTTGCAAGAGAGGTGGCAGACAATACTTTCCCACTGCAGGCACTATATTTTTCATTCAGTGATTGTTAGGATTTCCTCTCTTCTTATACTTCAATTCCTTTCTTGAAATTGTCAATAAATAATAAGTTAGAAACAGTTAAGAACCACTGACCCAGAAGTACATAAAATGAAATGTAATCTGCTATCAATCATAAAAAAATTATTTTGTGAAATTCTCTGCTGGTGTCCCTTAGCTTACTGTAAAGATTAGATGTGCTCCCTAGCATTTGCTGGGAGGGTACCTCATCACTAGAGACACAAGCTGATAAAATTGTTTTTCTGCACTTTTGGTTTAGTTTCTTTATTGGTTCTTGTTCGTGCTAGATAGACTCACTGGAAAGAGGCAGAAGGAAGCAATTGTTAAAGGAATAGGAAGAATACAACAGCACTCCGACTGCAGAAGGTTCAGCTGAGGTCACCAGCCTCTGAAAACTATGATCCTTCTAGGAGAACCATAGCAAATACATTGTTACCCAGGAGGAATGGTTCCCCCTCACTCCCACACCAGGCTGTTGGCTTGTGCCTGAACGTCTGTAGCACCAAGTATATTCAGTGTCAAAGTAACAGGAGTTAAAGACAAGCTGTTTTTGATTGCAGGCTCTATAAGGACCTGTTCCAAAGCTCACTGAAGTCAGTGCAAAGCTCCTGGCTCCAATGACACTTTGGTACAGGCCTTAAGGGTTTGATCCTGCCAGTTTCTGAGCACTCACAGAATTGAGGCCTAGGTGCAGAGCGATGGCTCATTTCTCAATCTATATTTCATTCTACCCTCTGGAAAAAAAAAGCCAGACTAAATTGCCATTTATTAGAATATTTTGACGGGTTTATGTCCAAGGGGTAATTTACGTGACCTCAGAATGTGATCCGTTGAGCCATATTCATTGCTGGTATCAAGCTATTGAAATCAATGGACTTACACCATGGTTGAATTTGCCCCCTTATGTTTTGAGAATAGTGTTACTACAGTAGTTGTCCCCATTTTGTCTATTATCCTCACTTAGTTTCTGTGTAGGTTTTCTAGCTTATTCTCTATGTTTTGAGAATAGTGTTACTACAGTAGTTGTCCCCATTTTGTCTATTATCCTCACTTAGTTTCTGTGTAGGTTTTCTAGCTTGCATTGCTACCTTTAGGCTTCCCTTCCATTAGTGCTTTTCATCTCTGGTACCAAATGGCGTTTTAACTTCCTGTGCCCCATAGGCTTTTGAGTACATTTGTTGTTCTAGTCGCACACATGCCGTTCCAATGTGTTTTGGCTTTGTTTTAGTTTATGTTCACTCACCTCTCTCTCTCTCTCTTCCCTCTCCACACCCCCCACCCCCATTGAAATGAGTTGAGCTTCTCTTTTTTCTTGCTGAGTTAAAGCTGCAGAGTCTCTGAATCCTGGTTTAATGTGTTCATGTGGGTTACATATTTAAACTGTGGTGTTTTTCCATATTGCTCTGAGAGGATAATCATTATAATGAACGAGAAATGTGTCAGATAGCTTTTTGTAGGCACTGAAGTGGCCCAAAGGGATTTTCAGAATAAAATATAGAGGAATGCCGGAACTTACATGTTACAAGTGTATAGAGAACTGAAGATCTAGTCTCATTTTAAGGGACTAGCATCCATTTATATATTTGACCTTTGAAAATTGCTTTTAGGCTTTTTCAACCAATAAGATAGTACATTTCCTTGGCTGCAAGGACTTCTCATATAAAGCTTATGATCTCTGCTCCTGACACAAATCCATAAACACCACTTCCTCATTTCAGATATACCTCATTCTCTGAGCAATTTCTTTAATTCCCTCAACAGCTTTATAGAGGAAAGCTGCTCTGATTTCTATCCTTTCTTAAAGGGGAAACAAAAAAGTCAGGGCACTTAATAAACCAACATATCTTTAATGTACCACACAGTATTTTGTGCCTTCACCTAATCCTTTCTACGACTCCCACCAATCCACTTTATGTAAACCAACTATATGCAGGACAAACATGCTTCCTATTATTAAAAATACTGCTATTCAACTTACTCCTATTCCTATGTCAAAAAACATGAAGATAACTCTCATTAATTGTCACTGGAGGGGCTTGGGTAGTACTGCCTCTATCTTCTTAACCCCCTATGAATGTCACATGCCCCTGGGTTGCCTGGGGCAACATCATTCATGGTAAAGCCATTGCAAGGAATATAGTATAATTCCCAGATGCATACATTCATAGGGCCATATGGTTCTCCTTTAGGGAGATGCTATCTCTGGTAAGACAGCACACAAATTAAGGAGCTCATTTGCCTTTATTTAACATTCTGAAATTTTATCCTGAGAATAAGACAGAATTATTTTCCCTGAAATCGTTTATGCAAATATAGGTTTTACAATGTATAATGAGCAATGAGGATGAGGGTTAAATGTAGTGTCCTTTCTTGATGGCACAGTCAACTCACCATTGACATTACCCCAGGCATAGCTTAAAGTCACAGGTGCCTGATGTTAAGCTCTGGAAGCAAATTTCTTTACCCAGAGGCACCTGGTAATGTGTCTGTCTTCCCTCAGAGTTTGGTGGACATGCCCCAAGGCTGTTTAGTGGTTTGCTTACTAGGAGGTTGTTTGAAGTGCTGTTTCCTCCCATATTTATTTTCACTCCTGTTTGATAGCAACACCTGGACTTTTAAATAATAATAAACTCAAGTATGATTTCAATGGTACATGACACAGGATTCTTCTTTAGAGGACTGAGTATCTCTTGCACAAAGCTGCACATAGGTATAATACTTTGTCCTGCAATGAATGCAGAGGACTGGAATAGATGACCTCTCGAGGTCCCTTCCA